CCGCCTGACTCGGTCCTTCACAAGGTTCTTATTCTCCCGTCTTCCACTGGCCTCACTAAACCTCTTTTGTGTCCACCGACAGACCAGTCTCAGCCACAGCTACTGCCTGGCTCCCCGCTGCCTGCTCCTGCTCCTCACACTGAGGTGACTAATTCCCTGAGTAAGCGTCGTGAGCCTAAGACTTGTGCTTCCACACCTGTTCGTGCTAGTCATGTCACCCATCCTCGTCCTCCTACTATCCCAGGCACTCACAGTATGACACTTCGTCCTCCCTCTATTCCACAACGTGTTGTTCTTCCTGAGCCTCCTGCGTCCTCTCTTCCGCATGTTCCTGACCCTGAGTCCGACCTTGCTTGTGCTGCCAGTCCTACTGTCACGCGTCTCCTCGCTGCTGTCGTCACTGACCCTGGCTTTGTGTCTACTACTATGTTTGCCCTAGTCACTGAGCTAGTCGACTTTGCAGCTAGGAGTCGTCTCGACTACGTCGCGAGTCTTGTTACTAAGTCCAAGTCTGACTGTCCTCCATCTGACGAGGACAGGCAGTTTGAGCTTGAGTGTCTTGCGGCCGCTTTACCTAGTTTCGCATCCATGCTGCTTGCCCTGAGGAAGACCCGGATGCACTTGACATCCCTACTCCGCGCTCTTACGCTGAGGCGATCGCGGGTGAGTACTCCTCTCAATGGGAGACAGCCATGGACGCAGAGATGGCTTCCTGGAAGTCCACAAGCACCTACGTTGACGAGGTTCCTCCTCCTGCGGCGAATATAGTTGATGACATGTGGAATTTCAGAGTGAAGCGGTCGTCGGGCTCTCCGCCTGCCTTCAAGGCGCGTAACGTTGCTCGAGGCTTCAGTTAGTGACAGGGGGTCGACTTCTTCCAGACCTTCTCCCCCACCCCGAAGATGACTACTCTTCGGGTGTTGCTGCACGGTGCAGCACAGCGTGACTACAAACTGCACACCCTCGACTTCTCTACATCTTTCTTGCAGGGCAGCCTTCACGAGGAGATCTTGTTTTGCTGCCCACCTGGCTTCACCGGGTCGTTTCCTGCGGGTACCCAGTGGAGTCTCCGGCGGCTAGTCTACGGTCTCCGCCAGGCGCCTCACAAGTGGCACGACACACTCAGGACGACACTTGCGGCTCTTGGGTTTGCTCCTTCCTCTGCTGACCCGTCGGTTTCTACGCACCGACACTACCATGTCATCGTTCTACGTTCTCGTGTACGTTGATGACTTGGTTTTTGCTACTGCTGACACTGAGGCACTGGTGGAGCTGCAAGAGAGACACACTTGCACTGACCTGGGTGAGCTGCGGAGCTATCTTGGCTTGCAGATCACCCGGGACAGAGCACGGCGTACCATCACCCTGACTCAGTCACACATGGTGCAACAGGTCCTTCAGCGCTTCGGCATCCAGTTCTCCTCGCCACAGCCCACTCCTCTGTCTACTGGCCACTCGCTCTCAGCTCGACCTTCGGACGAGTCCGTAGAGCCAAGTGGTCCATACCCAGAGCTTGTGGGTTGCCTCATGTGCCTGATGACGTCCACACAACCTGGCCTCGCGTATCCTCTCAACCTCCTTGCTCGTTACGTGGCTCCCGGTAGACACCAAAAGGTGCTCTGGGATGCTGCGAAGAGGGTACTGCGTTACTTGTACTGTACATCAGGCATGGGGCTAGTGCTTGGAGGATGGGGTTCAGTTGTTCTGACACAACACTCTAACCATCAGCGTTTTTGCACTGCTCTTGGGCTTCTGTCCACTCTGCCTCACCTGCTGGTTGCTTGACTTGCTCTTGTTGTACCCTGGTATATATTTTTATACTTGCTTGTTTACTCTTGCTAGGTTGTGATCAGTGTAGTGCCTTGCTATTATAACTCTGCATGTGGACTGGCCTTGTGGCCGCTTGCTTGTGCTAAGATTGTGTGGTGTCCTTGAGATCCACCCTGAGCTTTGCTTTGCTTGTTCTCTTACTTGACTGGTCTTGTGACTGTCTGTTGTGTTTGCTCTCTCCCACTCAGCCTATGGGCGTGTGTCTAACTATATGTTTGTGTTCTCTCTAGGCTATAGTGAGTTAGCCTTCCAGGGGAACAACACTTTAGGGTTAGTACTTGTACCCAACTCATTCATAGTTCATTCATTCCTGCACAGTGATTCTGACATGAGGCGTAGGGTCGGGGCATGGGTTACCAGCCAAAACGTGAGGTTGGGGTGCGATGGGAACAGTGGCAGGAGCACTGGTGAATGTCACGTGGTGGTAATGGTTACTATTGGGGTGTTGTGGCAGGAACAGCTGTGTATACGGTAAATAGGGATGCGAAATAAGAAGGGATCTTTCTTACACTACCCCCCTCCCCAAGGGAGGTTCCATTACAAAGTGGCGTGTGCGTCGCGGAAGTTTCGGCTTGGCAGGTATTCGGTGAGGACGGGGTGGTTCTCGATTTTATCCAGGGGGACCCAACTGTCCTTTGTGGGCGTGCGGTTCTTCCACCGTATCAAAAACTTGATGCATCGTGCTCCCTGTGGGTCGCGAACTCCGTGGGTCACTATCTTTCCGGGGCTGATGACTGGCTTAGTTGGCGGGAGTGTCATGCTTGATGGGCGGCTGCATGGCAGCTCGTGGATGGGTCGTAAGGGCGAGGAAGGCTGACGTGGAAAGAGGGGCTGACGTACCAGTCAGCAAGCACGAGGAGGTGGGCGGTGACGGGGGTGATCATGTGGCTGATGCAAAATGGCCCGCAGTATCTTGGGCGTAATTTTGGGGTGATGGGCAGGCGGAGGTTCTGAGTGTCGAGTAATATGAGGTCGTCAGGTTGATAAGTGACGGGGCAGCGGTGAAGATCGGCGTTGCGTTGAGCAATGACGTTTGATTGTTTAGTGACTTCAGCTGCTCGGGTCTGGGCTGCGTGTAAAATCTCGGCGAACTGCTGCACGCGTCGGACCGGGTTGTCTGTGGTTGAGGTAGTGTCTGTTGTGTGGTTGCTGACGTGAAGTTGTACGCAAAATTTATGAGCGGAAACTGCTGCTCCCAAGTTGTTGGGTCGTTTTATCTGGCTCAAATTAAGTGCTCCATGGTCTGATGGGTCTACTCCGGCTGACCGTTGGTTTGTAGTCGTGTGCTGATCTGCTGCCATAGGTTCCACCAAAAGTTGCTGGTAATTTTTGTGTCGTGGTCGCTCATGATCGCCGTGGGTATCCCGTGCAATCTAACGTCGGTGATGATGAAGAGTCGTGTTGTTTCTTTGGTTGAGATTGATTTCCTGCAAGCTGCGAAATGGGCCAGTTTCGTTAACCGTTCGACGATGACCAGGATTGCATAATTCCCACTTGCCCCAGCTGGTGAACACGTGACGAAGTTTATCATCACCTGCTGCCAAGCGCGCTCTGGGGGTGGTCTTGGTTACAATCGTCCGGGCGGTCGTTGTCGTAACAACTTCATGAGCTGGCAGGTGGGGCACGATGCCACGGGTCGCTGCATGTCGGTCAGCATCTTGGGCTAGTAATAACATCGCTGCAGCGTCAATAATAGCCAGGTCAGTCAGCGTTGATACCAATGAACGCACAGAGCTGCGTCTTGGGAGCGAGCTTCCCACCCTGACGTGCTCGATCGGCGGGATTGATGAGGACATAAGCGACACAGCCCCACACCTGAAGAGGGCGGGCGGAGGGTTGGCGGCCAGTCCAGAGCTGGAAGGGTGTAATGGAAGGGCGAAGGGGATGAGGGCGAAGGTTGGAAAGAAGAGTGGCATGAACAAGAGGGTAGCTCCAAAGAGAATGTGGAGTAGAGGCATGAGTAAGGAGACAGCGAGTGATCTCCATGAGAGTGCGAATACGACGCTCGGCAACACCATTCTGTTCGGGAGAATGCGGAAGGGTGGAGGTTTGGCGAATGCCATGAGAGGAGTAGTAAGAAGAGAGAGAGTGGTTAAAGAACCCGCCACCTCCATCAGAGTGGAGGCGTATGATAGGACGACCAAAGCGAAGGCGTGCCTGCTCAGCCCAGTAAATGATGAGGGAGGGGGCGTCAGATTTGGCTCGGAGGGGATAGACAGTGGCAAAGCGAGGGTGGTCATCAACAAGAAGGAGAAAGTAACGATGACCCTAACGGGAGGCAATGGGAGAGGGACCCCATAGGTCCATATGCACAAGATCAAGGGGTTTGGGGGAGGCAGAAGGGGAAGAAGGATGAGGAGATTGGGATAGCTTGGCATGAACACAAGGGGTGCATGGAGGAGCAGGAGAGGGGGGAAGGGGCGGGAGAGAGGAAGGGAGATCATGAAGCAGCTTCGAATTGACTATGCTGCGAAGGAGAGGGAATTTGGGGTGGCCAAGGCGATGATGGAGAAGAAGGGTAGGTTGGGTGAGAGAGCGTCAGTCGCAAGAGGAGACAGAAGGGGCAGAAGAGGAGGAAGTGTGATGGACAGATGAGGGGATGGGAACACGAAGGATGTAGAGGCGAGTAGTAGGGGAAAGGGTGAAACGAGCGAAGTGCCGGTCGTGGTAATGAAGATCACAATAGAGTGCAACTGCGGGGAAGAGCGCTCACACACCGAGGCGTTGGAGGGCAGGAAGGGATAGGAGGTTATGACAGCAAGAGGGAACATAAAGGCCAGTAACAGCGCCAGAGGGAGAGGCAGGACAGGGAAGAGAGGAAGTGCATGTGCAGATCATGGTCATGGTCTCCCCAGCCCCATCAATAGAGAGGGGACGAGGCAAATTGCGAAGAACACCAGCATCACGAAAGACAGAGTCAGTAGCAGCACTGTCAAGGACAAAATCCAAGGTGCGAGGAAGTGAGAGAGCGGCAGCCGTAGGGCTGGGAAATTGAGAAGCAGTGCTTAGAAGCGGTGGAGAAAATGGAACGAGAAAGCGAGGGTCCATAAGAGGAGAAGCACCAAGGATGCTATCCTGAGAGGGCATGGTCACACTGAAGACAGAGACCAGAAAACCAATGCCAGAGGTTACAGCGGTAGAAGAGCGGTGAGGCTGATGGGACAGCGGAATCAAAGCAGAGGAGTGGAGAAGAGGGGAGGTCCCGCGACAAGGAGGAGAGGTGCAAGGGGAGGAAGGGGCAGCGAAGGGAGGCAAGGGTAGGAGAGGAGGTACGGTAGAAGGAGGGTGAGGGCGGAAGCGCAGAGGAAGAGAGGTAAGAGTGAGAAGAGGCCCCATATGGGGGAGGGAATAGCAATAAAGCAGTTGTGGGGAGAGAAAAGAGGAGGACGAATAGGGGTGAGGTACTCAGCTGCTGAGCCGTTGAGGGGAGAAATACGAGGAGGAGGGATGGCAGCAAAGTAGTCTACTGCTGCGCCGCTGAGGGGAGACATAAGAGGAGGAGGGATAATGGCGGGGTAGTCTGCTTCTGCGCTGCTGAGGGGAGAAATACGAGGAGGAGGGATAGCGGCGAAGTAGTCTGCTGCTGTGCCACTGAGGGGAGAAACAAGAGGAGGAGGGATAGCGGCGAAGTAGTCTGCTGCTGCGCCGCTGAGGGGAGAAATAAGAGGAGGAGGGATAGCGGCAAAATAGTCTGCTGCTGCGTCGCTGAGGGGAGAAACAAGAGGAGGAGGGATAGCGGCGAAGTAGTCTGCTGCTGCGCCGCTGAGGGGAGAAACAAGAGGAGGAGGAAAGGTGTGGAAGGCGACGAAACACGGACAGCTACCAGCTGCAGCAGATAGGGAGAGAAGAGAGGTGGAGGAAGAGGTGAGAGGGTGGGGGAAATAGAGGGAGAGAGACGAGGAGGAGGAGGGTGAAGGAGCGAATTGTGGGGAGGAAGTAGGGTCACGATCACCAAGTGGCAAGTAGTAACACGCAGCCAAGTGGCAGATGTGGAGGGGAAGGAGGTGGAGGAAGGGAGGAAAGAATGAGGAGAGGAGGAGGAGGAGGGTGAAGAGGCGGATGGGGTGAGGGGAGAAGGAGGAGGTGGTGCATAAACGGCAGAAGAAGGCGCACCACGAAGGGAGGGGAAGGCGCCTGCAAGGAGGTGACGCAGGCCGCCCACGAGAGGGTATGGGAGGGTGGCCGCGAGGAGGGAAGGGTGGCCGGGGAGATGGAGGGCGGTGGGCAGAACACGCGCGCGGGCGTCGACGGCGGGGAGGCCGCGCGCGTCGCCGTCGACGCGTCAACGACGGGCAGGGTGCGCGACGTGGCGGTGGCTAGGGCTCGCGACGAGGCGGGGCAGGGGGAGGGCGGCGCGGCGACGGGACAGGGCGCGGCGACGAGACAGGGCGCGCGACTAGGGGACGGGGCGCGTAACTAGGCAGGGAGGCCTCAGGCGATGGATAGAAGGTACCGTGATTGAATAATAAGAAGAAATTTAAGGGTCGAAATAGTAGGAAAAATATTTTTCGACAAGGTAAAAGAGTGGCGCGCCGGATGCTAAGGCCTAAACCGTACTAAGAGATATAGATTGGGACAAAACGCCAAGGGTTTGGCTCTATATACCATGTTAAGGCTGAGAGTATGGTAGCCATGGCTAGGAAGAGAGAAGGTAGCGAGAGAATTGGTACTAGGAAAGAGTGTCGAGATACAAATGTATGAAACCCTAATTGAACTTAGGGTGTGTTCGTGCTAGAAACTAAGAAATGAACCTAAACTAAATCGAAAGTGTAACTCACTCTAAACATGGCGAAATAACAACAGATTACTAGGATAAATGCCAGAGCGAGCTCTAGCCTACTCCAACACAAATTTCCTCTGGCAAAGAAGCGGTTAATCTGGTAGACGTGGGTGAATATTCCTATGAGCACTGGGCTTGCGTAGGTGAGTAGTACCGCATGTATTTGGGCAGTCGGACAGATAAGTGCGTCGGCAATGTTAGAGGCGCCCTTTTCGTAGGTGACAGTGTAGTGGAAACTCGACGCGAGGTAGTCGAGCAAGCGAATTTGTCATGGGTTGACGGGGAGTTGTGCGCAAAGGTATTGTGGTGATTGGTGGTCTATCCTTACTGTCACGTCTGCGCCGATCAAGTAACAGCCATGCACAATTGCGGGCATTTCGCAGTCGTGTATCGGGTAGCTCTTCTTAGGCGGGTGCAACTTTTGTGACTCGTATGCGACGGGTTGAAATCTGTTGCCAAAATTTTGTAGCAGTGCGACTCCATTGGCGATGTCTCTGGCGTCGGTAGCCACTTCGAATAAGCAGTGTGGTTCGGCGATACATAGCACGGGCGGTAAACAGAGAATATATTTCAGGGCACTGAAGGCAGCATGCTCTTTCTCCCCCCATATAAAAGTGACCCCCTTCCGCAGTAAGTCCATCAGCGGGGTTGTTAAGCATGCCATGACGGGGGAATAACCAGTGCACATAACTAACAATACCCACAAACTCTGCAGCTTTGTGATGTTTGTCGGGGGTGCCATGCTTTGACAATATCCATTTTTTTTTTTCTGTTTAAACCTCTCCAAAATGACGTGCCCTAGAAACTCCAAGAGATCCTGAAATAAACTCACACTTGGAACCTTTTGTTAGCAGCGGATGCTCGTCTAAATTTTTGAATACTGCTTCCAAGTCGGCAAAGTGTGTGAAGAAATTAGGAATGAATGAACTAGCAAGCAGGTGGGTACAAGTAGGAAAACCTAAAAGTGTTGTACCCCATATTGTCTACCCCACTACAGCCTACACAAACTATAGCATATGAGTTTGACACACCCCCATAGGCAAAATGGGGGAGAACAAGAGGTCACAAGACCAGTCAAGCAAAGCAAAGCAAGCTCAGGGTGGATCACAACGTCACCACACATTCCGAGCACAAGTTCAAGGCCACAAGGCCAGTTCACATGCAAGATCATATATAAAGGTAAACAAGCAAGTGCAGGTATAGAAAGATCACAGTACAAGCAAGGTCAAGAAGTGAGCAAGTAAGGCCAAGTAGGCACAAGACCTAGCATCGTACAGAAGCGCTGATGATCACAAGGCGGAAGTGCCTTGGTAAAGATATCAGCAGTGTTTGCCTCAGAGGCCACGTAAGCAAGGCACAGCTGACCACGCTGCTGCAGCTCACGAGCAAGGAAGTAGCAAAGAGCAATGTGCTTCGTTCTGTGCTCCAGTCTGTGCTCCCGACACAAGGCCAGCATGGCCTTGTTGTCTGCGTACAGAAATGGAGGAGAACAAGGCGGCTCTCCTAGGTCAGTCAGCAGGTAGGTGAGCCAGCGTAGCTCCTGTGCAGCCATGGCCCCCGCGTAGATCTCAGCCTCACAGCTGGAGCCGAGAACAGAAGACAAGCGGGTAGACCGCCACGAAACAGAGCCGGAACCAAGGCTGAAGGTGTAACCCTGTGACGACCGCTGCGTAGCCTGGTCGTCAGCCCAAGAAGCGTCTGCGTGACCTGTGAGGACCACTGAACGTCGCCCTCCAAGCACTAGCCCCATGCCCAACATACTGCACAAGTAGCGCAACACCCTCTTTGCTGCAGCCATGTGCTCTGGTCGGTGTCTCCCAGGAGCAACATAGCGTGCCAAGATGCTAAGAGGGTATGCAAGGTCAGGTCGTGTGCAGGTCATCAGGTACATGAGGCAGCCAAGAAGCTCTGGGTACGGGCCACTAGGCTCTACGGACTCATCCGAAGGAAGAGCTGAGAGCGAGTGGCGAGTAGAAAGAGGAGTGGCCTGAGGCGAGGAGTACGTGAATTCGAAGCGCTGCACCATGTGTGACTGAGTCAGGGTAATGGTGCGCTGTGCTCTGTCCTGGGTGACCTGCAAGCCAAGGTAGCTCCGCAGTTCACCCAGGTCTGTGCACGTGTGTCTCTTCTGCAGCTCCGACTTCACGTGGGCTAGTCCAGCAGTGTCAGCAGTGGGAAAGACCAAGTCACCGACGTACACGATGATGTAGAACGGCGGCAAAGAGGTGTCGGTGCGCAAAAACAGCGACGGGTCGGCAGTAGAAGGAGCAAACCCAAGAGCCGCAAGTGTAGTCCTCAGTGTGTTGTGCCACTCAAGGGGTGCCTGGCGGAGACCGTAGACTGGCCGCCGGAGGCTCCACTGGGTACCAGGGGGAAACGACCCAGTGAAGCCAGGTGGGCGGCGCAGCCAGATCTCCTCGTGCAGGCTGCCCTGCACGAAAGCTGTGCTGAAGTTAAGATAGTGAAGCTCGTAGTCACGCTGAGCGGCTATGTGCAGCAGCACCCGAAGAGTGGTCATCTTCGGGGTGGGAGAGAAGGTCTGAAGCCTCCCTGTCGCTGACTGAAGCCTCGAGCCACGTAACGCGCCTTGAAGACAGGCGGAGAACCCGGCGGCCGCTTCACCCTGAAAATCCACATGCCACTAAAGATATTCGCCCCAACTGGGGGAACCTCGTCGACGTAGGTGCCTGTGGACTTCTAGGAAGCCATCTCTGCGTCCATGGCTGACTGCCACTGAGAGGAGTAGGGACCCTCGATCGCCTCAGCGTACGATCGAGGAGTCGGGATGTCTAGTGCATCCGGGTCTCCCTCAGGGGCAATCAGCGTGGACACGAGCAGGAAAACACTAGAACTCCTCCTGCCTGTCCTCAAGGACGTCCGTGCTAAGAGCACACTCACCCCCGATGGACGGAGGACAGACAGACTCAGACTCAGCAACAAGACTAGCAGCGTAGTCTAGACGACAGCGAGCAGCAAAGTCGACAAGCTCAGCAACCAAGGCAGACGCAGCAATGGACTCAAAAGAAGGGTCAGTGACAACAGTAGCCAGAAGACGCGTGACAGTAGGACTGGCAGCACGAAGAGAGTCAGACTCCGGGTCAGCAAGAAGAGTAAGAGAGGACTCTGGAGGAGACGGCAACGGGACACGCAGAGGCCACACGAGCAGACCCAGCACCCCCGGGCTCCGCACCCCCAGGCTCAGCACCCCCAGGCTCCGTACCCCCAGGCTCCGCACCCCCAGGCCCAGCACCCCCAGACTCAGCACCCCCAGGCTCAGCACCTCCAGACTCAACACCCGTAGCAGTACCAGAGTCAACAGCTACCTCGACATGCTCGACAGCGTCTACTTGGGACACACCTGACGGGGCAGGACCCTGAGGGGGGAGGGGGTCTACCGGAGGGGGACCTGGCGCAAGGAAGAGCAGCGGCGGGGGGAGGGGTGCAGTGAGGTAGGGGAAGAGACGGTAGTAAGGAACCGACTTGTCAAATGTGACGTCCTGGGAGGACAAAACACGGCGCGAGGTGGGGTGGTAAAAGTGCCAACCAGGAGCGTCAGGGGGGAAGCCAAGGAAGTTACAGGGAACCGCACGGGGAGACAGCTTGTCCGAAGACAAGTCGCGAACAAACGCCCGAGATCCCCAGACACGAAACGCAGATGCATCGCCAACCTTCCCCGTCCACCGCAAGGTGGGGGAGGTCTCTGGCAAATAGACCCGGGGCTGAAGGTTGATCTGATGTGCTGCGTACTGAACCGCAAACGGCCATAGAAAATAAGGAGCAGCCGCATGGATCATGGACGTTCGAGCGACGTCCATGACCATGCCAATGCGGCGCTCAGCAATCCCATTTTTCTGTGGAGAGGCCGGAAGCGTGAAGGTCTGGCGGATGCCCTGTGCACGACAGAAGGCTCCCAGAAGGGCAGAGGTAAACTCCCCGCCTCTGTCAGAGTGCAGACGCAGAACAGGAAAGTCCGAGCCGAAACTCTCTCTGAGCTGGAGACGAGCTGCGCGGATCCAATCGATCAACACCTCAGTGACGTCACCCTTGCCGCCTTGTCCGGTAAGAGCAGCGCCTCTATCTCTGCACTGCCCTTACCCTACTATTCGAGCTGCTAGTCTACTGCTGTCATGGCCACCCCTAGTGTCCTCGCTTTTGATGCTGAGGGTCGGCTATTGACTTTGACGTCTGGATAGATGACCTGCAGCTTTTCCTACAATGCGATAGGGCAGACGGTCTCTACCTCTTTGACCTCACCTCTGGCGCCTCTCCTGCCCCTGCTGCTTTTGCTGACGCCACTGTTCGCTCACAGTGGGCCACACGCGATGCTGCTGCACGTCTTGCTGTGCGTCGCCACCTGCCTACCTCTGAGCGTGCGCACTTTAGCCAGTACAAGAGTGCTCAGACCTTGTACGACGCTGTAGTTGCACGCTACTCCTCCCCTGCCACTGCTGCACTGAGCCGCCTCATGCTACCGTACTGCTTCTTTTGACCTTGCTGCCTTTCCCACAGTCGCTGACCTCAGTACGCACCTCCGCACTAGTGACACTCGCTATCGCGCTGCGCTTCCTGCTGAGTTCTTCGCCAAGAACCCCCCCCCCCCAATGTACATCACCCTCTACTACATAGTCACCCGACTCCCTGACTCTCTCCGCATAGTCAGGGACCACTTCCTCTCAGTTTGCCAGGAGGTGGTGGAGGTGGCGGCGGTGGAGGAGGCGGCGGCGGAGGAGGAGGAGGAGGAGGAGGAGGAGGAGGAGGAGGAGGAGGAGGAGGAGGAGGAGGAGGAGGAGGAGGAGGAGGAGGTCGCGGCTCTTCACAGAGGAGTGGC